CAACATGATAATCATTTTAATGATTTTTTTAATCTTTACTGAAATAGGATAATCTTAATTATTAAGATGTTTCACAAGTTATTTTTCTTAGCCACAAAGATAAACTTGAAGTTCATGATAGAATAACAAATAAATGGAATATGTGAAATTTTACTATATTTATCCTATGAGAAAAATTACAATAAATTTATTGTTTGAACAATATCTTGGACATAGATACTCAAACAGGCACCTGAGAGAAAATTGGTAGGACCTAAGACAAAAGTGTTGTGTGTGCACAGTTGGACATTATGGGTGGCCCATGAATGTCCTTAGCAGTCTAGGCGGCTACACTGTTTGCACACATTAGGATAAATCAACCAAAGGTCTGACTTAGTTCAACAAACCCAATATTTACCATATGGCTAAATACTTCACTGCCCTGGTTTCCCAACATTCTGCAAAAGATGTAATGTGGCCAAGAAAAGATGCTGGAAAACCACGTATATGAAATATTTAGTTTTTCCCAACCAGGATCAACCAGTTAAACCAAAATGAAGGTTGCTGACAATATCTGGTCTACAGAAAAACCTACCCAATTAGCTTAGGCCTCAGATCAGACCCTGTGGGTAATACATTTGGTTAAGGTAAAGGAAAAAGGGAATCAACAGATGGGCAGAGCACAACAAAACACGACACGGATGTGTCGCGTAGTCCACCGTCCACCCCCCACCCCGTGAAGGGAGCAGAGGCACTCAGCGGCTCACACAAGCACTGTACCAGGCCTGGCGCGGTGTCTTCTGTAAGTAACTGCATAATAAACATCAGCTGAACTGAACGAGCAAAGCAGCCAGGTAGGCTGACAAACTGGAAAGTTGTCACACATCATCCAACTGTAAAAGTCACATGGAAAATCAGAGGGCACAGATTAATAGGTGAGGGAAACCAAGCAAAAACAAACGAACTTTAGACACTAACCAAATGCCAGGAAGCACCATGAGCCCCTGAGTGCCAGCCTAGCCAGCTCCCACAGGGGTCCCTTTTCCTTCCTGGCAGAGGCCCTGGGGACAGAGCCTATACTTCTTTACTCTGTAAGGCTGCCACCACCCAAGGAATCCCGTTGGACTCTTCTCCCTGCAAAGTCCATCTGTTCACTGAACGAGCGTCTACAAGAGCTTTCTGTTCCAGGCCCTGGGCATCCCGTGGGGAACAAGACAGCAAGGTCTCTGCTCTCGTGACCTGACCTTTTACTGGGGGAGAATCAGGTAACAAACAAAGACACGAACAAGATCCTTTCCGATGGTGGGAAGTCTTAAATAGAAAATTTAAAACAGAAAAAAGAAAGAAAAAGGAGAGCTGAGACGGAGAAAGAGGAGAGGAGCTGCTCACTTAAACTCCGTGGGCAGGGGAGGCATCTCTGAGCTGAGACAGAACAGAGGCACAGCTGCTGGCCAAGCAGAGACCCTGGAGCACAGCGTTCCAGGCAGAAGGTAAGCAAAGAACACAGCCTGGAGGCAGAATGGCTAGGGAGTTCAAGGGAAGGGAAAAGGCCTCCCCGCCTTCAGGTTCTGGTTCAAATGTCATCTCACCATGAGGTGGCCCTGACTGCCTGACTTTAAACTGTATCCACTGACTAGGCCCAGTAGTCTCTACCCTGCCTCATAATTTTTCTCCAGTGGAAGTTTTACCATCTGACAGGCAATATATATTCCTTTATTAATTTATTAATTAATTTCTGTCTATTCCTACAGAATGTAAGCCTGTAGGAATTAGGGCAGGGATTTTTGTTATTTTCGCCACTGCTGTACGGCCTGTACCTATGTGGCACATAGTAGGCACTCAATAAATAGCTAAATAAATAAAAAGAAAGGGAGGAAGGGAGAGGGGTGGGAGGGAGGGAGGAGTGGGAAGGAGGCAAAGAGGAAGGAGAGAGAGAAGAGCCAGCCAGCGTGGCTGAAGTACAGCAGATGAGGGCACCGCATGAGGGGACAGGACTGTAGGCCGTGGAGACCATGGAATGGAGTTTGGATTTTATTTTAAAAACAAAGAGAACTCACTGAAGAGTTGTAAGGCAGGGAAGCAACGTGATCTAATTTGTAGTTTAAAAAGTTCACTGCAGCTGCTCTGTGGAAAATCAGTCAGAGAGAAGAAAGCAGGGACGCTAGGTACGGAGCTAGCACATCTGGAGATGAGGAAACAGTCAAGGCACTGCTTAGCAGTGATTCGCGTGGTGAGAAGCAGATTTGGGGTATTTCTCAAGGTAGCACCAAAAGAACTCACTGATGGACTAGATACGGAGATCTGGACTGAAGAAAGCAGAGGAATCAAGGATGTGTCAGTTACCAATTTACTGCTTCTCAGCCCCAAATCTATCCTTCATTGCCTGCTGTGTGAAAATTAAGGGGCACCCTTGAAGTAGTCTTCCTTTGCCTGATGCCTCGATGTTAAGCTTTGCCTGTAGAGAGCACTGGAAAGATGCTGCAAGAGGAATAGGCTTTTCTTTTTTTTTTTTTTTTTTTTTTTAAAG